CTGCGGCGCGGGCCGGGGGAGCGGAGCCCCGGGGGCCTGGAGGCGCACTGCCCTCGCAGCTGCTCTCCCGCTCGCCGGAGCCCCGCTTCCGCCGTCCCTTCTCTTCCTGGGGAGCCCCGTGCCCAGCGAGGCTCAGCGCCCCCTGCTCCGCTGTCGCTCGATGGGAGGAGTCCCCCCCTCTAGAGTTTGAGGTTTTCCTTCTCCGGGCGCAAACCCTGACGACCGGGCCAGTGCTAGGACAGGCGCGCCGCTGGGGAGAGCTCCAGGGGTCAGGGGGACTTGGGTGGGGGTGGCAGGACACACATTGGCTCATTCGGGCCTCCAACTCATCTGAAAGTTTCGAGTGCCACCTCCAAGTTCTCGGGGTCTCCCCAGCCCTGAATAGGGCTTGCATTCTGCTGTTAATCAGGAGGCTCACTCCTTGCCCTGGGGAACCCTGGTCAAGGTGACAGTGTTATGGAAGAGACATCAGAGAAGTGTGGCAGCTCCTGTCTCTGGATGGATGAATGAGAAATCTTTGTCTCACCAAAAGGAAACAGTAGGCAGAATCATCCTGTCCGGTTTCTAGGATGCTTGGATTTCCTCGGCTGCAGCTGTGCTGTACTTACATATCTCTAATGACAGGGTGCCCATTACCTATCAAGGTAACCCATTCCAGTTTCCACCTGATCTGTTGACAGTTTTTATATTATAATCAAAGCATTATAATTAATGCCCATGATTAAATCAAATAACACAGAAGGGCTTAGAGTTTTAAAAAGCAACAGTCCCCTGTTCCATCTCCCCAGTACCAGAGATAATCACATTAGCTTCTTTTAGCTGTTTCTACCAGTTAAATTTATATTTTTAAATAATAGACTTATAATAATAACAAACACTATGTAGTACTTTCTGTGGACCAGGCCCTGCTCTAGGTTTTTAGACATATTAATTCAACCCTTGAGATAGGATCTAGTATTATCCCCATTGTACAGGGGAGAACATTTAGGCCCAAGAAGTTAAGTAACTTAAGATCTGGTTAGGGGCAGAGCTGGGATTTGAACCCAGACAGTCTTCAGAGTTCATACTCTTAAAAGCTGTGCTCATCTCATATTTCTTAGTTTATTAATTTTAAATATTATTAACTGATTTCCCTGTATGATTTGTCCCAGTTATGCCTCCTCCATCTTCCTAAGATGATTCTTTTTTTAATCACTATTTTTAGGTTTTTCTATTGTTACCTTTGTAGCCTTTTAGGGGATATGCATATAACATTATTTCTTTTTTTGGTCAGCCATAGGCAGTATCTCTTGATTTCCTTTTTTAAAAAGAGAATATTAGTCCCCTGTAGCTTCCCTCACCCCTTCCCCCAGTTCTTGCCATCTGTAGTTTTACTTTCATGTTGTCAAGGTTGATTACATTCACCAGCTGTTTTGTTTTTTTTAACCATAATTATCTTCTATGTTTTGTCTGTGGATTGATTCTAAACATTGAAAATCAATATATAACGTTTACATTATTTAAGCATGTAAATATTGTTTCCTACAGAGCCAAGTAATGTTCAACAGTTACACTGGCTTTCTTATATTACTTTTGTTTTTCCTGGAGTTTCTAATTGCCTTTTTTTTCTCCCTCTCTTAGTATTTGCCTTTATTTCCTCATTTTTTCATTCAAGCTTTCCATCACGTCTGGTATTTCACCATTTTTTATATAGAACCAAAACCAACCCGTCTGTAGTCCCCATTCGTGGATTGCTGCTTGACTTCTTCGGGTTGAGACCCTTCCTTTCTGGCTAGGCAGCCCTACACACGCTGCTGACTTTTAACTGTATGGTATGCGCTCCCCAGCTGTCGTGGTGTCAGTTTCCCCATGTGGTGGGTGTGGCAAACTGTGGAGGAGAGGAAAGATCACCTTGTTTCAGGTTACCAGCCTTTGTGCTTTCACCGTTGTTCCCAGCAGCAGTTGCTGGCGGTTGAGACCTAGGGCTGGCACAGGCTGGGGGCTCAGTGTGAAGTCTGTGGAGTCAGGACCTGGGGCAGGTTTTGTCACCCCAGGACAGGGGCTGGGGAAGAGGATGCCTTTACCCTCCACGATTTGCCTCCTGTGGCCAGAGCCCCAGTAGAAGAAAACCAGTCAGATGCCGATCAGTCTTCATTCCCAGGCTGGGTGTCTGCCCTGTGCTTGCCTTCCCCCGGCCCCCACCCTGCTCAGCTGGGATAGACTAATGACGGGGATTCCCATTGACTGCGTGCTCCCTGAGGTAGAAGAAGTAGTTCCTGAGCCCCTAGTGTGTACACCCATAGCTTCAAGAGACACACACCTAAGTACTTCCCACGGCTTCCAGAATCCCTTTCTTCCTTGTACTAAACTGCCCAGTTGGGAGGTTCCAGAGCAAAACACTGAGGGCTCTCATCCTCCTCTGCCCAGATTCTTCAGGCCTGTCTGCTATTAGAGGCCTTGAGGTCACTAGAGGAAGGGGCAGGGTGGGGCCTCGATGCCGGTCACTAGTCTCAGCCCTCTGGGCTGTCCTCACAGTTACTTTCTAAAGGTCTGCCCATTCTGAAGACCCAGCCACACCTGCCTCTCTTCCTCTGCCTCCGGCAAGCCAGGAATCTCAGCTCCACGCAGAGCCTTTCTGTCACTTCCACCTCCAGGCCTTTGGCCCTGCCCGCCTGCTGCTGTCTGCCTAGGTAAACCCACCCATCGGTTCACCCAGGCTCCCTTCCTTCACGCAGGCTTTGCGTACAGCTCCACTCCACGCCAGTCCCTTTCTAACTTGATCTCCTGATGAGCCACATGGCTTACTATAATAACCAAAAACAAGAGCAAGCTGTTGAGAGCATGTGTCGTGAATTCATATAAACCCAGGTTTGAATTCTGTGCTGTTCAGGACTCCTGGGTTGCAAGTAACAGAAAGCCAATGCAGCAGCCTTAGCAGAAGGGAGTGTGTTGGCCCATGTGGCCAGACCACTGGCCTGCGGATGCCTGGAACTGGGAACACGAACGCTATCAGGACCTCTTCTCCTTGTTTCCCTGATCCTCTCTGCAGGGCTGCTGCGTTCTCACCTGGCTGTCTCTTGAAGGTGGAACCTTGGCTGCAGGCAGCTCTGGGTTTGCATCCTTAGAGCCCCAGCACTAGAAAGGAAGGAGCTCTTTCCCCCAACTCTAGTTATAAAAGTCCCACTCAGCCAGCCTGGGTCACCGGCCCTCTCTGTGGCCAAGGAAGCATCATCTCTCACCAGAAGCAGCAGCAGGTAGGAAACAGGCTGACAGGACTAGTTGCTGCAGCTCGTTACTACGTGGGTGACCTGGGCTAAGCACGTAACCCCTGTACGCTCCAGCATCCCCATCTGTGAAGCAGGAGGGGAGCAGCTCCTGCCTCCCAGCGGTACTGCAAGGACCAGATGAGACAGTGTGGGTAAAGCGCCCAGCATGGCACACAGCGGGTGCTCAGTAAGTGGTGGGGTGGGGGCACTGAGTGGAGGAGACAGGAAGACTTAGTCGACCTAGGGAAGGCCCATTCCACCTGTCTTGCTTGCCACCAGAAGGTGCTGCGATCCCCAGGAGCTCGCCTCCCTGTCCTGGGTTGCTCTGCCAGCCCAGTATGGCTCGTCCCTGGGCTTGGTTGAAAAGGGTCTTGGAAAACTACGGAAGCAACAGCAGCATTGACAGAGGGAAGTCTTGGTGCCTCTGAGCTCGTGTTTGCCCCTAGAAAAGCAGTAACTGCTAACTGTGAGTGTTCTAAATCAGCCAGTCACTGAGCCGAGAATGCTGGAAAATACAGGTCCGTGTCCCACAGCGCCTGTGGGCGAAAGGGGACGATGAAACACCTCAGTCATCTTAGGAGGCAGTGGGCTGCGTGTCACTGGAGGTGTGCAAGTAACGGCAGGGACGCTGTAAAGGGGATTTGGCAGGCAGGCGAGTTGGGAGAACCTTAAGGGGCACCACTTTTCGTGAGGGTTGAGAAGGGAGAGCACGCTCCAGCCCCATTCTGGCATGGCCACACCGAGCCAGCGAGGAAGTGTCCCCTGGTGTGGGCTGGCGGGACTTAGGAGAAAGCTTCCTCAGGGAAGCCTTCCTGGAGGAGGCGGCACTGGCCATTGAACTTCAGCGCACCTGCAGACGGCAGATGACCGACTGCTTTGTGAGAGGCACAGGCGCCCAAAGGTGTGTTGAGGTGGTATCCCACTTCTTGCCGTGTCTCCCACATCAGCGCGTCCCCGCAGGCCTCCCTGTCACTGCCACTGTGGCCTGGGGAGAAGAGGAACACCAGCAGCCCGAGCTCACCCCTCGCAGTTCAGGAGCCCAGGGCGCAGAGGCCCGTCCATCCCAGTCTCTCTGAGGCAGGTTCCCTGGAGGGCTCCGGTTGCTCCAGCGCAGGTCACATGCCCTTCCCACAGGCCATCACTATGGACACAACTATGGGATGGAGGTTAAAAGTATAAGCTCTGGGGCCCAATCATTTGGGGACATATCCTTGGCTGTGTGACCTTGGGCAAATTACTTAACCTCTTGGGCCTCAACTTGGGCCTCTGGGGTAATATTCCAGCCTCAAAGGGTCTCTGTGAGGACTAAATGAGTTAAATGAGATAATGCATGCAAGCAGCTAACAACAGCGCCTGGAACGTGTGAGTGCTCGGTGAACTGTAGCTGCTGCCATCCCTCATCATGTTTCACGTTGTTTAGCCGCGTTTACGTCCTTCGCCTTGTTTGATTTCCCCCATTATTCTTTAGGGGAGATCGCCCGACAGGTACCATCCCAGTTTGGGAGCTTCCTTCCTCACTCCCAGGGAAGCTGTGGTCAGGGCAGCTGAAGTCCCCCGTCCCCACGACCACAGGGCCCGACCCCAGCATTCCCGGCAAAACCCCTCCCCTAGAACTCAGTCGTGAGTGTCTCCTCCTGCCCTCGAGTCCCCAGCCCCTGCTGTGTCTCCACTGAGGGAGGATTCCCACAGGAGGAGGGGACTGACCCCTCCTGTCTGCTTCTCCAGGCCCGGCCCTGTCAACGCTGATGAGGCTGCCCGCGCGGCGCCCTTCCACCTCGACCTCTGGTTCTACTTCACGCTGCAGAACTGGCTTCTGGACTTTGGCCGCCCCATTGCCATGGTGAGTGTGAGGCTGTGGACAGAGCCCTGACCAGCGCTGGGGACTTAGTGTGACTTGGATTAGCTGAGTGATGGTAGACAAGTCACCTCCCCTGTATCTCCCGGTAAACTGAAGAGAACAGCGTGGCTGTGCCTTAGCTCTGTGACTGGGGTAGGTCGGGCAACTGCCAGCAGGTGCGGGCAGGGGACGGGAAGCCTGACTAGTCACACTGGGCCCGACTCTGAGCAGTCACACTGTGACTGCCTGTAGCCTGTGTCTCCAAGCAGGTGAACCAGGTTTAACCAGATCATCGCCAGACGAAGGCCATGGGAAAGGAGAGTGCCCCGCGTCCTTAAGAGCGCGGGCTGAGTTTGCGTATTATGTAATTCTCTGGGCCTCGGGTGCTTGTTAGTGCCGTCTGGGAAACCATCCCTCTCCCTCCTAGGCTGCTTCGTACGTCAGTGTACAGCGGCGGCCTCCACACGGAGGTTAATGCTGGAAGCACCAAAGCCCCTCACTTAGAATAGATGGATGGATGGATAGACAGACAGACAACAGAATGTGAAAAAATTGAGTGAGTTACCACCATGTACCACGTTGTTATTCGTGGGGGGTTGGGAGATATAAAAATAACAATATCCAACGCTGAAACTGGTACCCCACACATGGTAGTGATAATGCACATTAGCAGAACCCTCTGGAAAGCAGGTTAACCAGGTAATAACTAGTGCTTGGACTAGTACTTAACACAGTAAATGCTCAACACATTTTTGTTGAATGAAATAATAGTTACAGCAAGATAAAAATAGCAGCTAACATATAGTGAGTACTTTGTTCTGAGCTCTTTACATGTTTAAATGTATTTAATTCTCACATCAACACTATTATTAATCCCAATTTATAGATGAAGAAACTTGAGGATAGAGAGTAAGTAACTGGCCCAAGGTCACCCAAGTGGCAAGTGCAGGAGCCAGCCTCTGAACCAGCACTCTGGCCCCAGAGCCCACCCCCTTCCCGGCAAGGTTCAACTCTCTGTCACATAAGTACCCAGAATCCTAACATCCTGACCCAGTAATGTCCCTTGCAAGAATCTGCCTTGAGGACGGCATCAGCAGGAAGACAACGGCTTCTCCACCCAAAGATGTTCACTGCAGTGTTGCTCATAATAGCCAGATCTTGGAAGTGACTGCAGTGTCCAGCAGTGGGGCTGGGTAAATCAACTTTGCTGTATCCGTTACAGAGAATGTTTCCTGGCCGTTAAACAGAAATTGTGGCTGCTATAGAGCAACCTGGAATACTTAAGGAGGAAAAAGGTGCCTGCAAGGCATGTAGACTGATTGCACGGCAGTAACAGTCCCATCTGCCTGAGATCAAAGACTCGATGGGGAAAAGGAAAGCTGTCCCGGCAGTGGGGAGTCATGGTGGATGCTGGCTCTCCTTTCTGTAGACTTTCTGTAAGGTTTACATGTCACTGTTTAAATGTGGGAAAAAGAAGAAGGATAGAGCCAGGAGTCAGGACATCTGGTCAGGTTTGCAGATTGTGGGTGAACTTGGGCAAGTCCTTGTCCTCTGGGTTTCATTTTTCTCATCTCCAAGAAGACTGGCTGCTCTGAGCCCTCGTCAGCATGAAGGTCTCTGATACTGGGGCCCAGAGCAGCTTCCATCAAACTGGTCCTGTGGGGAGAGGCAGAAAGGCCAGGGCTGGGCTGGTGGCTCTCCTCACTCACTTAGGGCTCAGCCTCCACCGGCCTAACAGGGTCTCCTACTGGGCACATCACTTCCCCCCTCCTGCCCAGAACTGCTGTGGCCACTGTGACCCCATTGGGACTTGTTGCGAGAATGTACGTTTGAAAAGCTCATGTATACACTGGAGCCTTTCACATGTGTGCATTATAGTCCCGGATTTGTAATAACTAAAAATAAAAACTTTTACAAGTTATAAAAGTAACATGTTGTAGTTGTAACATAAAGAAGTAAAGTTAGACTCTCCCTAGCCCTTTCCACTCTCACTGTTGACAGTTTGGGGAACATCCTTCCACTTCTTTCTCTGCTCAAACACACACATATATATGTCCTTTTTCTTTTTTTCTAACCAAAATGAGACTTGACTTTATACCTTATTCTTCAGCTTGCTTGTTTTACTTTAGAATATGTCATGAGCTGGGTACAGTGGCACGTGCCTGTAGCCTCAGCTACTCAGGAGGCTGAGGCAGGAGGATCACTTGAGCCCAGGAGTTCAAGTCCTGCCTGAGCAACATCGTGAGACCCCATCTCTAAAAAATAAAAATAAAAAAAGAGTATAAAATGTCATTTCTGTTAATGGCTACTTAACCTTCCATAGTAAAGAAGTACTGTGATGTATTCAACTCGTCCTGTTTGATTCAAGAGGCAGCCTGTTTCTGGCATTTTGCCATCACAGAGTGTTTCAGCAAACATGTATTAATATATCTCGATATAAGCAAGGATACGGATGTGCACGCGCACGCACACACACATGGAGTGAGAGAGAGAGAGAGAGAGAGATTTCTCTGTCCTGAGAGTCTTTTTTCTGCAGGTTTGTTTTATCCAGTATGGGATTTCTGAGGTAAAAGAGACAACCATTTAAATCTCTGATTGAAACTTGTGGTCATTACACATGTCTGCAATCAACAGATACTAGGAGTACAGTCCGGTAAAATGTTTGGACCTTGCACAGGGGTTTTCACACTGGCCTGGACAAGGCCTGGACTCGGCGTAGACCAGGAGGCGGGGAGAGGGCATTACAGACAGGAGAGCGGCCCTCGGCCCGCCCAGGGAAGGCAGGGAAGGAAGAATTGAAGCTACTTTGTTTCCTAATGTATCCTTGACTTGTTGGGAAGCAGTCCGTCCACCCAGTGGATGGTGCATGTTCCGCACCCAGGCCTAGGGGTCAGGAGACACCGTCGTCACGGTCGGCCCTTGGAGTGCCAGAGCCCTAAGGGTCCAAGTAGACTACCTGGGCCACCTCTACAGATGGGGAAACTGTTACAGATGGGGAAACTGAGGCCCGGAGAGGGAAAGGACCGGCCCAGGGTCACCCAGGAAGTTGGTGGCACAACCAAGTCCCAAAGGAGCCTCCCGACTCCCAGGCTGGTATCCAGGGAGATTCTACTGGGCGAGGGGCACAGGGTCAGGTCCTGGATTTACATCTACTGTGTGACTGTGGGACAAGTGTACTTACCTTTTCTGGGACTCAGTTTCCCTGTCTGTGAATACCTTCATCCCAGGGCTGCCAAGAGGGTCCCTAGAGATCACAGCAAGAACTGAGTGCATGCGACGGGGGTGGGGCAGGCTCTCAAGGGCCTCATGGGCTGCTCCCGGGTGAGCCCAGTCTTCTCCTTGCTCCCCAGCTGGTGTTCCCTCTCGAATGGTTTCCGCTCAACAAGCCCAGCGTGGGGGACTACTTCCACATGGCCTACAACGTCATCACGCCCTTTCTCCTGCTCAAGGTATGGTCCAGGTCCTCCCCCTGCACCCCCCTCCTCATTCCTCCCACCTCCTGGCAGGAGGCTGGTGCGAAGGCCCGTGCCCTGGCTCAGGCACTTCCCTGCCCACTGCCGGGGGATGAGGCAGTGGTAGAGGGGCACGTCAGGGGCCTGGGGCCCAGGGGAGGCAGAGCCGGAGGGAGGAAGAAGCCCCCACAAGCAGGGGCACTTGGTGTGGCCTCGGCCTGGTGTGGCAGCAGGTGAAGTGGGACAGGTTCAGACAGAAGGACCTGAAGACTAGGTTGTGCCTGGAAAATCAGAAAACATTTGGGGAGGCTGAGGGAGAAGTGATGGGGGCGGTCCAGAGAGAGGTCAGGGACCCGTTGGGAAGGCAGGTGGGGGCTGGGCAGAAGGAAAGGCAGCAAGGGTGGCTGCACTCTATCCTCTGGCCCAGGGAGCCCTGACTTCGAAATGTTAAGTACTTAACACCAACTTTGTTTCATGCACAAAATTATTTAAAATATTGTATAAAATTACCTTCACACTTTCTGCATAAGGTACATATGAAACATAAGTGAATTTCATGTTTAGACTTATGTTCCACCCCCAAGATACCTCATTAGGTATGTGCAAATATTCCAAAATCTGAAAAAAATACAAAATCCAAAACACTTTTGGTCCCAACCATTTTGGATAAGGGATACTCAACCAGTATTGCCATCTCCTGTCCCCGTCATCTTGTTATGAGGAAAGACAGTTCAAATCTCCAAAAGGAGGAGGGGTATAATCTCAGAACTCGGATGTGTTTTCAGTTAAATAATGGCATGTCAGAAACACCCGCTCCCATTCCTGACATTTCTTCATGTTTGCCATGATCCGGTCACTCAGAAATCGGGGTCCCTTCAGCAGGCCAGCCTAGCGACCAGGGGCACAGCTGGGGCCGGTGGGAGGGCTGGGCCTGGACTCCCGCATTGAAGGCCTCGTCGTCATGTCCAGCACGTGGCTCTGATGTGACCTTGGACACTGAGTTGTGACGAGTATGTTTCCTCCCTGGGAAAAGGGGGTGCTGGTCCCAGCCCTTGCTGGGTTCACAGGATCATGTGAGAACCTGAAGGCTGGGCTGGCCCTCTAAAGGGACCCATCACTTTTGGAGTGACTCTCCAGATGGAAGCGTCCAGCCCAGCCCAGGTGTGACGGAGGGAGGCAGAAGGTGTCACACCGAGGCAGAGGCAGGGTCATGCTCTTGACCTCGGTCTGAACCTCAGCTCATCGAGCGGTCCCCCCGCACCCTGCCACGCTCCATCACCTACGTCAGCATCATCACCTTCATCATGGGTGCCAGCATCCACCTGGTGGGTGACTCCGTCAACCACCGCCTGCTCTTCAGTGGCTACCAGCACCACCTGTCTGTGCGCGAGAACCCCATCATCAAGAATCTCAAGCCCGAGACACTGGTGAGGCCACCTTCCGCCCCCACATGTAAGCCCTGTGGGCACAGTCTGTCCTCGAGGGCTAAAGGAATCGCCCCAACCCATCACTGCCCCTGTCCTACTGAAGGCACGCTGCTACCTGAGGGCACTGTCACCCTCACCAAGATAGCATGCACATGCGTTATTAGGAAGTGGCACGTCGAGGGGCTCGCACCGGGGCTCCCTCTAAGGGAGGGCAAGGCCCTGGGTAGGGAGTGAGGGCGGTTGGGGGGAGGCCTGGGGGTGGGAGGAGGGTGGCCAGAGGGGCTGCTTGGGGTCCCTGCACACTCCCTGGACTGACGTCCCCCTCTAACCCTCAGATCGACTCCTTTGAGCTGCTTTACTACTACGACGAGTACCTGGGCCACTCCATGTGGTGAGTGGTTGGCTGGGCCTATCCCAGAGGTCCACTGGCTCGGGGACACCCCGGAGGAGACTGACTAGGCCCTAGGCCGTGTGTTGAGCGGAGCACCTGGAATGGCTCCGCTTTCCCTGGAAGGCGCCTGAGCTCGGCCTCCTGAGAGGTTGCCCGGGAGACCCAGCCCCCCTGCCTGGCCCCTGCCTGGCCCAGCACCGCCGCCCGCCCCCGCGCCCTCCGCCTCCTCCCAGCCCGCAGTGCCCGCGGCAGCCACCAGGGGGCAGCGGGCGGCTGTCGGCCCTCCCTCGCCAAGCCCGGAGGTGGGGGGAGGAGGACGCAGCCCGGATAAACAACCCCCCAGATGGTGCCGTTGGGGCGGGGGCCCAGGAGGGTCCCCCACCGTGTCAGGCCTGCTCTCTGGCAGTGGAGGAAGCGGAGGAGAGCCACCTGGAGGGGGTGGGGGGCAGTGGGGGAAAGGACAGTGCTGTTTGGGCTCCCCTCCCCACAACTCCCAGGACAGCTTCCCCCTCCCCCAAACCTCCCTTCCTTCCCTAACCCCCATTTTTTTTCCACGTCCTTGGCATCTGGCCAGGCGTCCGGCCCGCTCTCCCCAGCCTCCAAGCCCCGCTGAGTGGAAGGCTGGGGCAGCGGGAGGGGGAGCAGAGGCGGTAGCAAGCGCTCTGGGAGTGTGGGCGACGCGGTGGGGGGTAAAGAGATGGGGGGGACGGGCAGGAGAGAAGAGGCGGGTGTGAGAGCGCAGATGGCAGAGGCGAGCTATTTGCTCAGAAGGCGGAGGCGGTGCTTTGGGGCGAGATGTTGCGGGGTGAGGCTGTGGCTGAGCTTGGTGAGGGGCCCCATGGAGCTCTCGCCCGCACTCCCCCCCACACCCCCGCGGGAGGTGCTGTTCTCATTGTCTTTTTTTAAGCTGGACCCTGACCCTCCCCATCTTCAGCCCGCTGGGTACACCCGTCTGCAGGCCAGCGTGGGGCTGGGGCTGCAGGTGTCTGGGAGTGAGACAGAGACCACCCCACCCCTATGGAGTGAGCGGCGCCCAGGGCGGGTGGAAGGTGCTGATGCCTGTAGCCCGTGGGCCTCTGGTGTGACCGTGCCTTGCCGTCCCCGCTCTGTTCCTGCCCCACCCTCACCCCCACCACGGGAAAGGCTGTGTGGGGCGGAGCGCCCCTCGTTCTGTTTTGTAAACCATGCTTCGGCTCCACGGGCCCACGCTCCATGGGAGGGTGCAAGGAGCTGGTGAAAGGCAGCGGGGAGGAGGACCTGGGTGGAGGTGGTGGCCAGGGCCACCCCACATCCCTCTCAGGCGCTGGCCTCCCTGTCACAGGTACATCCCTTTCTTCCTCATTCTCTTCATGTACTTCAGCGGCTGTTTCACTGCCTCTAAAGCCGAGAGTGTGATGCCAGGGCCTGCCCTGCTGCTGGTGGTGCCCAGTGGCCTGTACTACTGGTGAGTGTTCACGGGGAGGGGCACTGAGCAAACTGTGGAGGTGAAAATCCGCCCTCGACCGCAGATGTGCTATGTGGCCCAGGTGACACTGGCCCCCTCAGAGCCCTGCTTCCTCCTTTATCTACTAGGGACTGTGGCAGTGCCTTTGGGTAGCCTCTTTGCTACCGTAGGCCCCCTGGGGATTGCAGGTATTGGAGGAAGGACCTGGGACAGGCCTGGGCCCTTGTCTGATGGGAGGCCTCCCTGAAACTGAAAAGGACCTCCTTTCCTGGGGCAAGCTCCTGCCCATCTCCAGGGCCTGTCGCCTGCCTGGCTGAGAGGGCCCACCAGGGCTAACCTGTATACTCCCTGAGGACAGGATTAAAAGGAATGGGTGGCAACTACAGCAAGAGGGAAAGAGCTTCCTGCCTAGTGTTTTTTTTATTTTTTCTCTTTTGATAACTGGTACCAGCCTGCCTAGTTCTCATTTATAGCGTGTTGGTACAGTGATAGCTACAGTAGTAGCCGCAATTATTTGTTGAACAATATGTTTTTGCAAGTAAGAGATGTACAGAGCTCTTGTCAGTAACTTGGAGAGGTGGGGCCATTTATGTCCTCTTCATAAGTGAGAAAACAGAAGCTCCAAGATGTCATAGAAATTCCGCAAAGTCACACAGCCACTGAGTTGCAGAGCTGTAGTTCCTTGAGTATAACGGGTCAGCATTACAGTTCTCCTTAGAGGCAGGGGAGTGGACCTCCAGTAAGTGCTACTGAGCTCCTGGCCATATGCTAGGTACTGCCTTGGGCATTGCAGGAACCCTAGGTGATCTGAGACCATATCCCAGCCTTCAAGGAGACAGTAATGACAACCTCATAAATTGATGCTATATTCCAAACTCAAAATACCTACAGGAACCAAGCAGGTAACAGAAATACATCAAGTAGGCAGCAAGTGAGGCAATAGGGAATGGTGAGGACTGTGGCGAACCGTAGAGCAATGCTTTCTCTAAAGGGGGCAGCTGCTCTCTCCTCTAGTCAGTTTTTATCATGTGGAAATAAAGCGTAATGTGACCGGAGCAGCCAGAAATCCATTTTCGGGTATTCCATTATTTAAATATTGGCAACAAACAACATTAATAGTAACTCTACGAGCCAAATCAATATTCTGCATACAGGTGTGGCTTAGCGTGGCATGGTTCACTGAGCCCTCTCACCAGAGGGCTGTTCTGGGCAGGGAGGGCAGGCTGGGCCCCAGTATGGGGAGGGATGCCAGGCAGGAGGCAGTCGCCGTGGCAGCCACCTTGCGTCTCCACCGGCCTCTCCAGGTACCTGGTCACCGAGGGCCAGATCTTCATCCTGTTCATCTTCACCTTCTTCGCCATGCTGGCCCTCGTCCTGCACCAGAAGCGCAAGCGCCTCTTCCTCGACAGCAACGGCCTCTTCCTCTTCTCCTCCTTCGCCCTCACCCTCTTGCTGGTGGCACTCTGGGTGGCCTGGCTGTGGAATGACCCTGTACTCAGAAAGAAGTACCCAGGTGTCATCTATGTCCCTGAGCCCTGGGCTTTCTACACCCTCCATGTCAGCAGTCATCACTGAGACCCTGGCACTCCGCTGGGTGGGAAATGGGCCACAGAGGGCATCTGAGCACGGGTGTGTGCGGGTGTGGACGTGGGTGGGCATGGGTGTGCAGCCAGTGCTGAGAACACGGGCGGAGTGTGCCTCGTACACAGAGATAGGGGTGTGTGTGCACACGCAGCTGTTGCGTATGCGTGTTCAGAGTGCATCATTGTAAGACTTGACTATTTTCGTCAAGTTTCTGTTTGATTTGGATCTTTTTAGGATCGGATTTAGTTTTAGGGAGAATGTTGAGGCCAGGGTCTGGGCCCCTGCCCTCCTCTGCACCCGACGTTGCTGGGGGGCCCTGCTCTTCCTGGGGTGTCTTCAGGTAGCTGTGCAGGAGAGGCCTGAGTAGGGCAGAAGCCAGGAGGGGACTTGTCGTTTCACCCACTCCCTGCCTGGCTCATCGCTCAGGCCCGCCCTGACCCTGGCCGTTAGGTTACATGGATCACGTCAACTTCCTGTGCATTGTTGCGCAAAGCACTAACCCGCTCTGGGCCTCATTTGCACTAGATGGGCCCGTGGTCCCAAAGCGGGTCAGTGGGCTGGGGATGGACGAGGGGCTCTGTCCTGTCACTGTCTCTCCCAGCCTGGGAGGGTATATGCACCCCAGACCCTCGCCCACCCTGGCCCCGGGGAGCCAGAGGCCCAGCTCACTGCCTTGACTGCACCAGCCTGAGCTGGGGGTCCGGCAGTGCTAGCTCTCCTGCCCTCTGCCCCTCCCTCTACCTGCTCCCACTCAGCAGAATTGTGGCACCCTGGCTGCAGGTTTCTGCCTGCCCCTGAAGGCAGAGTTCTCAAATGCTGGCACTGCTCCCTGAGCCCCATTGTAGGGGTCACGGGACACCTGGAGGCTCTCTCCAGTCAGCCTGTCTCAGCCTGAATCCCACCCTGCTGCCAGTGGCCCTGCTCCCAGCACAGGGAGTCCTCCTCAGCACGGTGGGCCTCCCTGCCCCACCTCCCAGCCTGCCCGCCGCCTTCCAGGCATTGGGTCCAGGTCCCCTTGTAGCAAATGGCGCCATACCCTCATTTTTAGCCAGCGCTGGCCCATGTGCACTTGTGGGTCTCAGGGGGAGGGGGGAGCAGCCTTGCCGTACCCAGGCCCAGCCTCCCTTCCTGTGCTCTCAGGGAGCCCCTGTACCTCACAGGCTCCTTTCATGTTGGGGTCCCCCAGCCCTTGGGTCAGTCCCTGTCTGCTGGCAGCATCGGAGGGGAAGTGTGAATAAAAGCTGGTGTGGGGCCAGGCCTGGCTGGGGCCTGTTTCTTGCTGGGTGTGAGCTGGGAGGGCAGGAGGGAGTTCCTGGAGCGGAGGAGAGGCCGGCCGCTCGGGGGCCAGGCTCCTAGCAGCAGCCCTGGGCAGCCTGGTCTGGCCAGGCGCGGGCGCTCCCACGCCCACTGGCCTCTGCCACGCCACAGGCTCCTGGGGGGGAGGGCAGGGTGGGCCCCTTCCTCCAGTCAGTCCCAGCTGACCCAGAGGAGGCTGGGGGCTATGGGGGTGGGGGTGGGAGGGCATCTGCAGTCCTTCCCCTCAGGGCTGTCCCTTCCGGCCTCCCAGCTGCGCCGCAGCCTGTTCCAGAGCCTGAGACAGAGGCTGCCCTTTGGGGGAAGGTGGGGGGCTGGTGGGTTGGAGGTTGGCGCTTAGCCTTGGGCAGGTCACTTGACCTCTTGGGGACTCAGCTCTTGATACTCGAAGGTCTCAGCCTCACCACACCATGACCAGAGACTTACTGGGGCTTGTGTCATCAGACAACACAGAGGAGGGGCAGTGCAAGATGGGAGATGGCTCAGCCCACGTGTCCTGTCCCCCACTGACCAGCAGACGCGTTTGCTTCCATCTGTACCTCAAGGACACTGCTCCTTCGACCCCCGGCCCGGGGCTGCTCTCCACAGAAGGGCTTCATTTCACGAGCAGGGGCAGGTCTGACTGCGCCGGGCTTGAAGCTCATACGATTTCGGGCCCTTGATAAGAAAACAGTAAAAGAAAGAAAGTGAATAAACATTAGGCATGAAAGTGAATATTTAGAAAGGAAAAGAAATCACAGCAAATTACCGGAGGCCTGGAGACTCGTGTGTCCTCACAGAGCTCTTCGGGCAGCTCGCTGGAACCGTTTCCCTAGAAATGTTGGCTGCAGCGGGTCTTCCCTCTGCCTGGCAGGCCGGAGGCCGGCGTGTCTCCGGCGCGGGGGAGCAGCGTCGGGATGGCGGAGGAAAACGCAGATTCCTGACCTCCCCAAACCGTGAATCAAACTCCGGGACGGGGCCCTGCAGGTGGTTCTGACGTGGGCCCAAGTTTGGGGACCACCACTCTAGGCCCTGGCTACTGCAAGTGTGGTCCGCGGACCTGCAGCGCCAGCCCGCCCTGGGAGCCCGCGAGGAACTCGGCATCTCGCCCGCCGGCCTTGCCCGGCCTGCGCCGAAGCGGGTCGTGCGTGAGGCCCCGGCAGCTCCATCCGCAGCCGCCTCAGCGCCTGGCACGCCCAGGGGCCAGGGCAGGGACTTATGTCAGTTTGCTGGGACAGACGCAACAAACTGAGTGCTTAAAACAACAGGAATTTGTCCTCTCGGACCTGGAGGCTGGGAGTCCGAGATCGAGGTGACGGCAGCGCCGGGCTCTGGTGGCGCGCTGGCCATCCGTGGCGCTCCCCGGCTTGTGGACGCGGCACTCCAGTCTCCGCTTCGGTGCTCGCTGCCTCTCTGTGTCTCCGTTGTGTTCAAGTTCCCCTCACCGGGTTAGGACCCACCCTACTCCAGAAGGACTCCGTCCTAATTACATCTGCAGGGACTTGTTTCCAAAGGAGGACACAGTCACAGGGTCCTGGTGGACTGAGTTCTGGGGGGACTCTCCAACCCAGGACAGGCTTGAAGCTTAGGCTTCCTGAGTCCTCTGTTTTGGGGCACACAGGGTGGGAGGAGCAAAGCCCACCTCTGTGCCTTCACCGGCAGGCGCCCTCTAAGCATGGCGAGGACTTGGACCACTCGGGGGTCCACGGGGCTGCCCCGTCAGCCCTGATTGTGGGAGTGGCGGGGCCCTTGAGAGGAGAGTGTGCCCCTAGGGATGAACGTGGCCCAGGAACACCTTGCAGATGGCAAGGAGGAAGGAGGCCTGTGCCTGCAAGCCTGGGGAAAGGGCTTGGGTCGTGGAAAGGCCATGAGCAAAAGCGAAGATCGTCTCATCAAAACCTTTATATGGTGTTGGGGCCCAGAGGCTCTGCTGGGGACCCTCCTGGGCAGAGTAAGGGGGGGGTGCTGGGGAGGAGGAGCTTCCTTCTGTCTAGAATCCCTCCTGCGGGGATCCAGAGAGTGGGAGCAGGAAGGAAGGGAAGTCATGGCGGTGCCCAGGGGATGCGTCAATCCCCAAGGGGGACCAGGGTTCAAGAATACAGTAAACAAAATCACAGTCCCCAAGTGGGTGGTACTGGAGATTTTTTCTGTTTTTTTTTTTTTTCCACTTTGCATTGAGGTGTAGCACACATGCAATACACCATACAGCTTGATGAATTTGTGGATCGTGGGCCCTCATGTAGACACTGCCCCAGGGCGGATGTTGTTGATCATCTGTGAGACACCTCCCTGGAGGCACCTAAAACCGTAAGGAGGGAGCTGGCAAGGGTGTCAGGATGCCTTGGGGGGCATAGCTCAAACCCCATCGCATGCTGACCTAAACCCAAGGAAATGTCTTTTCTCTCCTGGAGCCCTTCCCAAAGGAAGGGTGATTCCGAGTGAACACTTTACCCGCTGCAGGCCTCCCCACCCTCCCGAAGCCCCGACTACTTCCCCTAACTTCCTTCTCTCCCGCCTGCAGCCCTGCGGCCAGGCTTTCCTCTTCTCAGCCCCAGCAGGGCAGTCAGAATCCTCAAGCTACACTGCTCTGGATCTAGAACAGGTGTAAAGAGGTAACTCAGGGTCCGGCACGGTGGCTCACACCTGTAATCCTAGTACTCTGGGAAGCTGAGGCAGGAGGATGCTTGAGCTTAGGAGTTCGAGACCACCCTGAGCCGGAGTGAGACCACCCATCTCTACTAAAAATAGAAAAACTAGCCGAGCATGGTGGCGTGGGTGACAGAGCAAGACTCTGTCTCAAAAAAAAAAAACCACCTCAGGAGACGCAATTTGGTGGAAAAGAGAACTTTCTACATGAAGATGGTCAGGAAAGGAGGGAGGGAGAGAGAATGGACCAAAGGCAGGCCGCACCTGTCCCTCCCTGTGCCTTTGTACAGACTGGCAAGAGGTCCTCCTTCCTCTGGGCATGTGCAGCCCCCCACAAGCACCCACTCATAACCTAGGTTGGCAGCCCTTGTATAGGGGACGACCTGCACGGCCACACCTGATGGCCCTGACAAAATGGGGTGGACCCTGGATTGAAAGCCCCACAGACAGGCCAGACCCCAGCTGTGGACAAGAGCCTCGCACCCTGCAACAGGGAAACTGGGTCTCAAGACAAGGGGGACCCCAGTGGTGTCCAGCAGGGCAGCTCCCAGGGCCACACCCTGCCCCATTGCCTTTGTGGGGGGAGGGGAGCTGCGGAAACCACTGAGGACACTGGGAGTGTCAGCAGCTTCTGCTGGAAGGAGTGGGGACTGGGGGTGGGCAGAGAAGGGGAAGAAAAGGAAGCTTCATGGCCAGGATGTCACCTAAGAGGCCTCACCCCCAGCCCCAAGTAGCCACAGGGGTGGTGGAGACCCAGCCCAGGCACCCACCTCCAGCCCCAGAGTCCCGGAAGGAGAGAGGACTACTGGCACAGACCGAGACCCAACTATGCTGGCCACTTGATTCTTCCAACAGACCCATAATTCATCCCAGTGAGGAAATCAAGGCCAAAGGACTGGCAGGTCACTAAGCAGACCAGCAGGCGGGGAAGGACTGGATCCCAGCCTGAGAGCAGCAAAGCCTGTGTTCCTTCTGCAATGCCGTGCCCAGGGCTCAGGGCTGGGGCAGGGCCACCTGTCCCTGAGGCGCGTGTGCTGTGACCGTTCCCGTCCTGCTACGAGTTGTGACCAGCTTGCAGTAGGACAGGCTGAAAGGTGCCCGACTCCAGGCAGGAGGCCTGGGGACAGAAGGCTGTAGCCCAGGGGCAGCCCCACCGGGGTCCCCTTTCTGAGTTCACTGACCCCTTCTCGCAGGGCAGGGCTCCCCAGAGGGAGCGTGGGCATTTGTCCCTCAGCTGCAGGGTGCCGGCCTCTGGGGACAGGAGCCCCAGTCCTGAGACAGCCCCTCCGCTGCCGTTTATGCACCTGCGCGGCGGCGGGGCGGAATCTGACCCGAGGCGGCGGCCGGTTTCCCGGCAGCCAAGGGTTTATTACGGGTCTCCACCGGGGGCGGACTTCGGACCCGAAGCCGGAGGAGAGGGCGCGAGGGGCCCCGCAGCGCGCCGCGATGGTGAGGGGGTCGGGCCGCGGCCAGGCCCGGGGGCGTGGGGAGGGCGCTGCGAGCGAGCCGAGTCCTCCCTGACTGTTTTCCTCTCTCTGCTGCAGGCCAAGTTTCTTTCCCAGGACCAAATTAATGGTAGGTTGGTTTGCTCTTTAATTAGCAACGCCCAGCAAAATATGGGTCTCATTAGGCGATTCGCTCTGCTCGTGTTTTGCTGCCGGGAAGGAAGCGGCCGGTGGGGGAGCTGGGCCCACCCACGGGCAAGGGGTCGGCGGGCCTGGGGGCTGCGGGTGGGGTGGGGGGAGCCTCAAAGGTGGCCGTGTGGCTTCCTGTTTGTCAGTGAGGTTCAGGAGCTGGGGTGACAGGAGAGAGCTCACTAGGGTTCCCTCCTGACAGTTGGATTTGGGGGAGGAGGGGCTGGGAGGGAGGGAGAGACCATTAACTCCATGGCTGAGGGCAGGGAAGAAGGAGGGGCTCTGTAATTGCCAGAGAGCCCACCGGGTCTGCACCCTCAGGCAGGCCGCCTCTACTCTCTCGGCCTCGGTCTCCCCATTTGTAAAATGGGGAGTCAACTGAAGTCCCTTCTGCCCTGGCATCAAACCTAGTTTGGGTGCGGGCACTTTATTCCGTGGGTCCCTTAATCTGCTGGCCCCAGCCGGCTTCAGTTTCACGCAGTGCAGAGCTCTGTTTCCGCAAGGCCAAGAGCAAAGAGTTGGGTTACAGAGAACTCGGGGCCCAGAGCTGGGCTCGGGAAGCCTGGCGGCTGCAGCCCCCCCAGCCCCTGGCAGGAGAGGCTCAGGTGGCACAACCAGCTGCTTCTTGAGGCTGTGCCCCTGAACCTGTCCCAAAGTGGACAGCAATGGGCCTGGCGGCCCACCCCTGGGTGTCCCGTCACTCAGGTCTCTGCTGAAATGTTACCTTCTCAGTGAGCCCCTCTGAGCACTGGAGATAAAATCACAGGCACCGTGGGCCCTTGGTGCCTTTGTAACCAGGGCAGGTTAAGTGGGCTTAGGGGTACCGGGGCAGGGGTTCCAGCGTTCTGGGCAACCAGAATTTGGTCTAGCAGTGGGGAGGAGTTGTGGGCTCCAGGTGGGCACCTCCCCATAGACTCCTTGAACTCCTTATCCCACCAGAGGAGGGATGAACAAGGATTTTTTTTTTTTTTTTTTGAGACAGAGTCTCACTCTTTTGCCCGGGCTAGAGTGAGTGCCATGGCGTCAGCCTAGCTCATAGCAACCTCACAATCCTGGGCTTAAGCAATCCTGCCTCAGCCTCCCAAGTAGCTGGGACTACAGGCATGCACCACCATGCCCGACTAATTTTTTCTATTTTTAGTTGTCTGGCTAATTTCTTTCTATTTTTTAGTAGAGATGGGGTCTCGCTCTTGCTCAGGCTGATCTGGAACTCCTGACTTCGAGTGATCCTCCCGCCTGGGCCTCCCAGAGTGCTAGGATTACAGACGTGAGCCACCGCGCCCGGCCAAGGACTTTTAAAGTACAAGGCCCAGGGTGGGGGCCCCTCTTGCCCAGGTCTTAAGGCGGCAGACCCAGGACTGGAGTCCAGCTCTCAGCCTCCATGCCCCCAACCCACACCTGGTTTTGAGTCTCAATGACCCTCCATCCCGGGGCCTTCAAAGCTCCCAGGAGGAAAGAAAGAAATTTCTCTTTGTATCCCAGTGTCTGACACCACGAAAGTGGCCAGCAATGTTGAATGAATGAATGAAAGACTGGATGGGGTGGCCTAGTGAAGTGGGAAGAACAGGGGCTTTGGAGGGAACAGATCTGGGGTCTGATCACCTCTGAGCCTCAGTTTTCTCATCTGTGAAGTAGGGATAATGATGCCACCTCACGAGGCTGCTGTGAGTTGGGGAAAGAGGGGATAATATCAGTTACATGCTCAACACTGGGCCAGGCACAGTCCAGGTGTCACCCATATGCGTGCTGGAGCTGGCTTGCTCCAGCTAATGAGAACCACGTTTTTAGGAATTTTCCAAGCCAGCCATTATTAAGTAATGTAGGATCAAACAATGTTCCCATCGCAACATCTATACACAAAGTTTAAAAGACAGACCTATTGTAACCAGTGGTGCTGGAGATTTGAAAGAAATTTCAGTTTAATGAATATAACTGGTACAAGGGACCAGGTGAGGTGGCTCATGCCTACAATCCTAGCATTTGGGCAGCAGGATCGCTTGAGTCCAGGAGTTCGAGACCAGCCTAGGCAACATAGTGAGACCTTGTCTCTACAAAAAAATTTTTTGAATATTAGCCAGACGTGGTGGTTTGCACCTGTAGTCCCAGCTACTCAAGAGGCTGAGGCAGGAGGGTTGCTTGAGCCCGGGAGTTTCGAGGCTGCAGTGACCTATCATGACACCACTGCACACCAGTTTGGGCGACAGACAAGACCCTGTCTCTAAAATAAAGTAAAACAAAATAAAATAAAATTATAAAAATAATTGGTACAAGGGTGAGAAACAGTTTAACAGCAGATCACTTATCAGATTTAATGACGATACATGCATTGGAAAAAGAACTGCGTTCATTGGCACGCACCTTCATTTGTCAAGCCGTGGTTGAGTCACAACTATAGGTTGGTAATGAATATGAGTTGGCAAAACTCATTTGTGTTAATCAGTTGGCTAGATGGAATTTATAATAAAGAATATTGCATATTTTATTATTATTTGAAAGTTGTATGCTATACATTCTTTATGTCTGTAAAGTGTATAATAAACATATATATGCAATGTCATCGGAGCCAGTTAAACCTTCAGCACGCAATGGTTGTCATCGTAGGCCGTGGGGAGGTGTCTTTCTTGTCCCTGGGGATTTGCATTATCAAAGGGAAAACCTACAGGGGATTTTTAATCCAGTCCATTCAACCCAATTCATTCTTCATCCCACAAGTGTTTCTGAGCCCTTTCTCTGTGCCAGCCCTGTTGTAAGCCTTAGAGACACAGCCGTGAACCCCTGCCCTGCCCTCCCGGGGGTCGCAGTCGAGGCAGGGGAGGACGACCCAGGAAAGTAGTGACATGGGCACAGCAGTATGTTCCATGGCTAAACTGGGGGCAGGGAGTGGGAGGGGTGGAGGGTAAGGGGCGCAGAGGTGCTGGAGGGAGAGGAGCGGCCTGGAGCCAGGCTGGTTCTCCCCGTGCGCTCTGTTGGCTTGTTCCAGCGTGGGATTCCAAGTTCGGGTCTGGCCTTCCAGGTCGTTGAAAGGTAAATTTGTCGAGGTCAGAGGATGTAACAGTGTGTTGGGAGGTGGCCTCCCTTCAAGCCCCGGCCTTGCCCATGTTGGGGGCACTGGCCCGAGGTACTGTTGCAGGCCGGGGCCGGGGGCAGGGGCAGTGTGCCACAGTAGAGCTAGGCTGGTTCTAGGCCCCAAGGGTGCAATGACCACCTTCCAGCACTGGTCACGTGGGGACAACAGTCATGGGATGAGGTCTCAGGGGAGCTGAGGGCCACCCCCGCCTCCGCCTGTGGGCAAACCCAGACAGAAAGACAAGGTGGGGGTGGCCGTGAGAGTCCCCAGGGCAGCACCAGAGGTGGGGCTGGGCTCGAGCTCTGTGCGTGGGGCGAGCTTCCCTCTACCCCACTCCGGCACTGGGCCCTCTTGTAGGTTTTGCAGGAACCAAGGCTGCGGTCCTAGGCCAGGCTCTGGCCCTGATTCCCCGGGCCCTCTCCAGCTCCTGCTCTCCGGAAGCTCAGGCTCTGGAAAGTTCTGAAAGGGCAAGTGTATGTGTGTGTGTTGCGGGGGTGTAGTCCCCCTCAGCCTCTTCACAAAAGCTGTTAGGCTCTCAACCCCACCCGCTGGTCTGCCTTTCTTCAGTGAGCCCCCCGACATCCTAGACATGGAAGCTACCCGGGAGGCCTGCATGCCTTAATGAGGGACGTGAGGGGGCCCCAGGTCTGGGCTAGGGGTCGAGGGGCTCCTGCTGCACTGGCACTGAGGGCGGTGTGGCCTGGTGGCCGGGGCTCCACTTCAGGAGCCGGCTGCCCAGCGTGAGGCGCTCAGCCACTCTATCCTTCCTTGCCGCGTCTGCCCGGTGGGGATCGTAAGGTACCACGTCCCAGGGCTGTGAGGATTAAACAAGGGCCTGGGGGTGGGGTGCTTAGCAATGTAAACTGTCACTGCTGTTCTTACGTCAGCTAAGGAGCCCAGGTCCAGGCCTCTGAGGACCCACTGGGGGATGTGAGAAGCAGGAGAGAGCACAGATACCTGGGCCTCCGGTGGGCAGGGCCAGTGAGGGCCATTGGGTTCCCAGCCTGGGGCTCAGCTGCCTCCTCTGGGATGGGACGGAATCACCTCACCTGGTGGCAGCCCCAGCCCTGAACCAGACTCAGTGGGGCCCAGGGACCTTTGCTGAGCCCCGGGCCGGCTTTCCTGCCCCTCCAAGGGCTGGGGCCAGTGCCATAGCTCTTCTGGGCTGCGAGACAGTGGCTTTGGAGGAGCCTTAGCTCCAGCAGCCATTTCGTCTCCACCAAGTAACACGAGAAAAGCACACACCCGGAGAAAACCCCCACACAACACCCAAACCTCTAAAAAAACAACACGGACACCTGTCACAGGACACAGCAGGTACAAGACCCAAAACGCGGGCCACAGCACAGAAAACACAAAAGTCCCCACAGCTGAGAAGAAGAAGAAGAAGAAGAAGAAGAAAAAAAAGCAACGCAACCCAAAAGCCCTCCCGGAAGGGGTTCCGGGGCCCAACGCAAACCAAAAGCAAGAATAAACCCAACTCCAAAAAAACCGGGGTTTGCAAAGGTCCCCTGGGAGTCTGGACGTCCTGCTGTCTCCTCAGCCGTGGGGGAGCAGGGGCAGTGGGGAGGAGGAGAGGGAAGGGGGAACAGGAGGAGGGGAAGGGGAGCCAGGGAAAATACAGGGCACTCAATTAAATTTGAATTTCAGACCAACAACAAACATTTTTCAGTATAAATATGTCCCATGCAAAACTTGGGACATATACTAAAAATGTATTCATCGTTTATCTGAATTCAGTTGTCCTTGGCAATTCTGTGTTTTCATTTACTATATCTGGCAACCGTAGTGGGGCGGAGGAGGGAGGAGGAGCTGGGCAGGGGACAGTGCAGGAGAGGACAGGACAGGGAGGGCCGTGGCGTGGAGAGTGAGGGAACGTGACTGACTCTCCCTTTTGGGCTGTGCACAGAGTACAAGGAATGCTTCTCCCTGTACGACAAGCAGCAGAGGGGGAAGATAAAAGCCACTGACCTCATGGTGGCCATGAGGTGCCTGGGGGCCAGCCCGACGCCAGGGGAGGTGCAGCGGCACCTGCAGACCCATGGGATAGGTGAGTGGGCTGGGGGCTCGGGGAGGGGCCCGGCAGCGGGGCGCAGACAGCAGAGGTGTGGAAAGC